AGAGAGAGAGAGAGAGAGAGAGAGAGAGAGAGAGAGAGAGAGAGAGAACAGAGTTAATCTTTTAGGTCCATAAATATTTCATGATGATCACCAAAATCCTGCTTTAATCTGCCTTTCTAATCTCATCTACTCACCTTGTGAACGAAACAAACTGACCTATTCAACAATCCTTGGACATTTCTCATGTACTTACCTGCCACTGGTACTGTTATCAACTGGAACGCCCTCCTCCTTTTCTATATATCTAGATTTTTAAAAATCAAATTTTAAAAACTATTTTATGTTTATTTAACTTTTCATAGCATAGAGAGGCAACTTTGTTTAATGAATAGCACACCATCCTGGAAGTCAGAAAGCTCTCAGTTCACATTCTGTCTGATACATACCAGCTGAGTGACTATGGGCAAATCACTTGACATCTCAGTGATCCTAGCAACTAAGACTAGAAGTTATAGAGCAGCCACTTCAGTGGAGAAGAGTCCCCTCCCCATGCTGATGAAATCATAGCTCTGGTTGGAGAAGCTAAAAGACAGTCTGTGTAATGGATAGATGACTGAGTTTGAGGCCCAGAACATCTGGGTTCAAATCTTGCTTCTAACACATCCTAGCCTTTGGAAAGTAGAAACTTCTTGGTGTTTCTGGCAACTTTTTAAAAAAAAAAATCTTCTGTTTTTCTGTCATCTCCAATTTTAGGCAACTTTTGGGGGGGGGGCTACGCAATGGGATTAATGATTGCTCAGGGTCACACAGCTAGTAAGTGTCAAGTGTCTGAAGTCAGATTTGAACTTAGGTCCTCCTGTCTCCAGAGCCGATACTGTATCCACTGCGCCACCTAGCTTCCCCTTTAGGCAACTTTTAAAGATTATAAATTAGAGTCCCAAGTGGAGCTGTTGAGCATTGGTGGAGGGAGTTTCCACAACAGAAATTCTCTATGCTAATGAAATCACAGGGCCTGATTTCTTGATAAAAAAAGGCTTATTCACTAGACTATAAACTCCATGAAATCAGGAATGGTTCTATGAATCTCCAACTCACAGTGTCCAGCACAGTGCCAGACACACGTAATGAGTGCTCAGGGATCACTTGTTGACCTTATCACTTGTACCTAGCGTCAGCAAGGTGTCACTGTCCCGCCTTGAACTCCTCTGTCCTTTGGCTTAATTCCAGGGGGGACTCTAATGGGAAAAACATCCTAGCAGTACTCTGCGCCTTTACAACTCTCCATAATGAAGAGAAAATGAAGCAGTGCGTCCCTTTCAGCTCCCTGAAGCAAAGCAAGGTCCAAGCCTCCCTTTCTTTCTCACAGGCTATCCTGGAAGACAGAGACTGAAACAAACTAAGATCTGGGCAGTGATAAGCAAAGGAAAACTAGGGTTTGGGATCCCCAATCTTCCAGGCAGGAGGTGAACCTCATTCCTTTGGCTACTGACCAATGACTTGTCAAGTGTTTCAGCACCACCATCACCCCAGCCCCCAGGCAGGTGAGCAAAAGAGTGTTTGCAAAGTTGAGTTCAGTCTCAAAACCCATCTTTGCTTCCATCAGAGCCAAAGTCTAGTCTGCAGAGCAAGGACATATAGAAAAGCTTCATGTTAGGACATGTATTTAAATCAGTGTCTTGAATGTTGCAATTTAACTCAGCAACCAAGTGTTAAGTATCTATTATGCATAAGGTTCTGTGATATGTTTATGTTTACAAATATCTATTTACAAATATTTCACAAATATGATATGTGTATATTTACAAAGACAGAAATGAAAACAGCCCCTGCCTTCCATAAGCTTATGGTCAACTGGGAGGAGGAGAAGTGGAGAAATGGAGGAGAGGGGAATACGCATACAGATAAATAAACACAGAAGTATATCAAGTAAGCCTAGAGCCATTGCAAAGGGAGGGAAGCTCTAACAATTGAGAGAGGTTCAGGAAAGGCTTTATGTGAGGTGACATTTGAACTGAACCTTGGATGGAACTAGAAATCCTAAGCTGAGGAGTGAGAGCATTCCTGGCATTGGGTGCAGCCAGTGGTGGGAGATAGCATGTTTTGTAAGGGGAACAGCAAGCCAGAATGTAGAGCACAAGAAGGAGTAAGCAATGGGAAATAAATCTGGAAAGACAGGTTTTTAATAAATGCTTATTGGATTGAATTGAACCCATTCATGACCTCTAGGAGTCAGGATCCACTCTAGCAGCCTGGTCTTTGAAAGTTCTTTAACCTTGATATTTGAGAAGACCATGGTTCCCCAGCTCCAAGGGTGACTACCCCTTCACTGCACCTGGCTGAGCCACAGGAGATGCTGGGAGAGAATTTAGGATGACTTTAAAGCTTGCAAGAAGACATTCTTAACTTTCCCTTCCCTCCACCAATTCTCTCTCAGCTTCCCCTCCCTCCTTTTTTTTATAACTACTGCCATCTCTTTCCTCCCACAGGGGATCATTCCTTTCTCTCCCTCCTCAGTAGGCTGCAAGAAGGCCCCCTTTGAATGATGAAACCTATCATGTCACCCACAGAGAAGGATACTCTCCAGGAATGAAGGCAGTCCCAGAGACAGAGGGAAAAGCTCTACCTAGGGAAAGAGGGGCAAGGTCCCAAATGGGAGCCAAAGAAGCAAAAACCAAAAAACTGGCACGGTTGGGTTGGAAAAAGAATTTCTCAGGGCACCCAAATCCAAGGGTCTGAGATAGAAGCAGAAAGGAGAGGGCTGAAAAAGAGACATCAACCAGTGATGGAGTCAATAAGTTTCTATTATGTGTTTACTATGTGCAGGTACTGTTACTTTGGGCTAAGTTCAAATGCTGGGGGTACAGAGAAAAGCAAAAACTTGGTTCCTACTTTCAGGGAAGTCGTATTTTAAAGAGGGACAAGCCATGCACATAATTATGAACATCTAAGACAGAATGAGAGTAAATGGGAAGTAATCTCAGAGGGAAGTCACTTGCAGTTTGGGGGTGGGGTGGGGTGGAGAGTGGGTGGAAGAGAAGGTGGACAAGGCTAGACTTCCTGAAGAAAATGGGATTTGAGGGGCACCTATATGGCTCAGTGGACAAAGCACCGACCCTGAAAGTAGGAGAATCTAAGTTCAAATTCCATCTCAGACACTTACTGGCTGTGTGATCCTGGGCAAGTCACTTAACCCCATTGCCTCTCTCCCTCCACCAAAAAAAGAAGAAGATGGGGTTTGAGCTTGAAGGAAATCAGGGCAGCCAGGAGGCAGAGGTGAAGAGAGAGCATTTCAGGTTAGGATTGAAGAGCAGGGGGCAGCCAGTGAAAAAGCCAGTGAGATGTTCTATAGAATGAGAAGGCTTACTACCAAGAAGGAGCTGGCTAGCTGACCATATAACAGATGGCAAAATGACCATCTGACTCCCCAAAAGTTGGGCCTTTCATGACAGCAGGGTGCGCTCTCCAATCCTACATTGTCCCAATTCTTCAGTGTAGAGTATGGCCCAGATCTGCCTTTCCCTCTTCTGACTAATCCATGCTAGTGAAACTATGACTCAGGTGGCACCTAGGAACTGTCCAAAATTCCAACAAGCTTCGCGTACAGATATTTTGATGAGACTATCCTCATTCTGGAGCACTTGAAAATTTGGGTGGGAGGGCGCAATAACAGGGAGAAGGGATGCTGACACCAGTCTTCTAGTCTTCTTTTTTGTTATGCGTTTTAATAGCACCCCCAACCCCCTCCAACCCTTTATGACATCCCAAAAGAAAGGAGAGGCTGAGATTACCTCTCAACCTCAGCCAACCGCTCTCTGTTCTAAAGAGCCCTTTCCATTTAGAAGCCTGTGTAAAACATAAGATTTAGAATCTGAAAACCTGAGTTCAAATCTTACCCCTGCCTCAAGGTCATTTTCTGAGTGACCTTGAACAAATCACTTAATTTCTCTGAGTGTCTATTTCTGAAAAAAATGGTCTGAAAAATAAGTTGTTTTGACTGAATGATCTCTAGAGCATTTTCTGACTCTACACAAAAAACAATAATAGCTAACACATATAGAGTCTTAAGGTTTGCAAATCTCATTTCATACAGCTATGATCCTGTAAGCCCTCAGTCCATCTAAGAAAAGTTTGATGGGCAATAGGGGAGACTCCTTGTGGGGCCTTATAGAAGTAACTTCCCATCCCTCATATCCACTCAACAATCCACAAGGCAGTTGTCCAGATCAGGTATTATTTGCCCAACATTTCTTAGTTCTAGAGCCACTTCCAGGGGCTACCTGGCAGTATCTAACTCCTCTGAAAACCTTGCCAGTACAGCTGAGGTTTGATTGGCCCTAGGAGAGGGACAGGACAAGCTGAAAGCATAAATGCTGCTCAAGTCCATCCTGCAGGGGTTAGGGGCCAGGGTTTGCATGGACCTTCCCCACAAGACCACCCTGGAAGTCACAGTATTAAGACTGTGATGAGCACCTCCTATGTATTCAAAAGGTTCTTCTAGCTCCCTCAGAGAGCTGTCAGAGTCCTCCCAGACTGCATAAAAAGCTGGATTTATGGAAAGCACTCATTGCTAAAGATCAGTTTACTTAGCTTATTGGGAGTTAATTTTCCACAAGGCTCCTATCTGCAAGGCTAAAAGAAAAAGGAAAAATAATGAAAAAATAAAAATAAATTTAAAAAATAATGAAAAATAAAGTAATAGAGAACAAGCTAGAACCCAGGTCAGGGAAGCGACCTCTATCAGCTCTATTTCCACAAGCATAACTACCTTAGGCTGGGCCCTGTAGTAGAAAGAACAGTGATTCAGAGCACTGGAACTCAAATTTTGGCTCTGACCCTTATCACCTATGTGACCTTGGGCAAGTCACTTAACCTCTCTGAGCCTTAGTATCCTCATCTATAAAATGAGGAGGTTGGACAAGAACAGTGATGTCAAACTCAGATAGAAACAGTTCTTTTCAGGCTGCAGATTGACTTAGAAAACCACAAATTAACATCATCTATGCTGTATTGTATTTTAGGTATTTTTGTTAAACATTTCCCAATTATCCAGTTGGGCACATTGGGGCTGGGATTTGATGCCTCTGAATTAGATAGATTTCTAAGGTTCCTTCCAGCTTAAACTTATGATCCAGTGACTTAAGACCATTTTACTGAAAGTGGATTGAAGAATTTTTTTTTCCTACTTAACGATGGCTAAGGAGGTCCCTTTCTGACATTTTTGTTGAACCACTGGAAAGAACCCACCTTCCCTCCCCTCCTCTCTCCGCATTCACTTTCCCTACTTGGAAAGCCTCAAACTTACATCATTCTCTGAGGTTCCACAGAGTATGCAGGATTTGCACTCAATGCATTGCCACTTGTAGGTTTTGACAGCCTCAGTCATGTTCAGGGTAAACTGCAGGCAGGTGGGGTGACCTGGAGGAATCCCAAAAAAAAAAAGGTCATTGTTAGAAGACAGCTCTTTGATTTCCCTTAGAGAATAGGAACAATGATCTCATGGGTGCATCGTTTCTTGAGCCATGGATGTGTCCTCTTGGCTCGGGAAAGAATGACCAAAATCAACCCTGCGTGGGACCTCAACCACCCAGCTGTGTCCCATGGAGAAAAGAGAAGATTAAACATTAAACCTTTCACTGCCAGGGACAAAATAAACCTGAGACACCCTGCTCCATCACTCATGCTTCCCATCAGTTAAAAAAAAAAAAAAACACCAACGTGATTAGGACAGAAGGCAATTAGACAATAAGCCAGAGAGGCATTGTGGGGAGAATGGAATAGATTAGAGGGATGCAAATACTTATATATTATGATAGATACTAAGCACCAAAAAGTAAACCAGACCCAAGGCCAGGTTATGGCGGCTGAGGTAACACACAAAAACCATGCTAGATTGTCCCTGAGGGAATGGGGCAAGGTTTCTGGGAGTAGCAGATTAAGAGGACATGATTGAGTGGGTTCATTTGTCTGTTAAACCCCACACTTCTGAAAAAGAGAAAGAGAGGGAAGAGGAAAGAAAGAGAAGGAGAGAGAAGAGGGAGGGAGAGTAAGAGATGGAGACAAAAGGAAACAGAAGGAGAGAGACACAGAGAGAGAGATGGAGAAACAGAGGACAGAGAGGAGGGAGAAGAGGGAGAGGAGAGAGGAAAAAAGACAGATGGAGACAAAGGGTGACAGGGAGAGAGGGAAAGAGACAAAGATGAGACAGAGAGGGAGGGAGGGGAAGAGAGACAGAGACAAACAAAGAGACAGAGAGATCTTTCAGTTCAAAAAACCATCCCACAAAGGCAAGAAAGAGGTGTAGGGAAGAAGGGAAGATCATCCAAAAGGGTTCTTCTGGGACAAATTAGGAAGATTCCTTGCCAGGGCCCAAGGTGTGGACCACAGAAGTAGATCAGAAATATGGTGAGAGGACCCTGAATAAATTTCAGAATCAAAGGGCACTGTGCATTGGAATTCATGCTTTGGGTCAGGCTCTACACTTCTGAACAGAAATTCAGTAATCTCAGTGTGATGGAAACAGGGGAGGAGGGGTAGAACTCCATTTCTTCCATGGAATCAAGGGTTAATATGACCATCGTTGTGAGTGGCCTATACTCCATGGTCTGGAGACTCAGTGCTGCAATGGGTCTTACAATGACAACTTCATGGATTTGGTTCTTTTTTTAGACCAATCAACTTGCTCTATTCTATAACTTAAGGCTTTGTCCCTAACCTTGGTCAACCATCTCACTGAAGCATACCATTTCAAAGATTTGGGTCAAAAAGAGTGGATCTATCAGCCTAATTATATTCCCTATTTCTTATGCTGGACTTGAAGTCATGAGGACCTGAGTTCAAATCCTTCTGTGGACACTTACTAACTGTATGACCCTGAGAACATTATTTAACTTAAGCCTCACTTTCTTTATCTGCAAAATAGAGGTTCTATTGGTATCTGCCAAGAGGCAGGGTAGTATAATGGATAGGGGGCTGACCTTGGAATCAGAAAGCCCTGACTCTGACACATACTCTTAACTTATTTTTAAACTTAACTAAATGAGCTAAACTTAATAATTTGAACAAGTATAACTGAATTTGACTTTAAAAATACATACTTTGAAAAAGCCGCCTTTTAATCAAACCCTTCCTCTTATCTTCAAATATAGAACAACCTTTTCAGCCTTATCTTTCTTAGCTAAGAAAGTATCTTTGCCACCAGGCTGTATTCCTCTAACCCTATACCTTGGCATGAAGGGCCAGTGGCAGTTTAAGGACTGCCAGAGGAACATCTCTTTAGAATGTAAAATTTTCACTTTTTTGCCTTCTTTGTCTATATCAACCAGAGTTTGGTGCCCTGAGGCACTTTCTAAAACTATGAGCTGCCAATGGGTTACTGATTTGCATGGATTATTACATTCGCAATGTAGGTACTTTGGGAAAGTTGTGGAAACTCCCTCAAAAAAAAAAAGAACCTGCATTACAGGATTGTAATGATGATGTTCAACCACTTTGCAGATGTTAAAATATTCTATAACTGTTAGCTGTTGTTTTGTTTTGTTTTGTTTTGTTGTTGTTGCTGTTGGAAAGCCATCTCAAAAATCATACCCTTCTGTGAGAAGTTGGGAGTGTCCCCTTCACATAAGAAGGAGAGAACATTTCATGACATGACTCAGGGCATCACAGCCAATGTCCTAATGTATTAATATGAAAGCGAGACTGATTCTCATAATAATCAGACTAAGAAGGGAAGAGAAGGGAAGGGAAGGAAGGGAAGAAAAGGGAAGAGA